ATCTGGATAATTTGTCCAAAAACATGAACACAAGTCCTAATTGAGCTCAACTTTGATGCCCTTAAGAAAGAGAAAGAGCCCTTATGCACACTAAAGGCCCTTTCTTGGCCCTTCTTCTCATCCACACTTTCTAAACTGATTTGAAATGGGTAAAAATAAGCAATGTTATGCAAATTCATGGGGAGAATAATCCAAGTTCAATTCTTTGTGAAAACAGGATGGATATTTTTCACCGACGGACGCAGGGCAACAACATAGATAGCAACCATATGGATGTTGACCCACTCTTTACTTTACAATGAATATATCTCCATGTATCAACCTCTAGAAAGCAAATCAAACTGCAAAATCAATGTCTCTTGACTATTTCGCATGGGCCAATCATCCAATGATAAAATGGAGTGCTTCACTAGTAGCTCTCCAAAAGTTGAAGAACTTAGGCTAGAAAAGTTGAGCTGTGTGTTGATGATTTAACGTTTGTGGAATGAAGTGGGAATGAGAACAATGAGCTAAAGTTGAATGATAGCAAGATGTTTGTGTGGGATAGAATAAAATGCTTGACAGTTTAGTCAAAATATTAGTATTTTGAACAATGTGTCTTTCAGATTCCTGAAATGCTACAAATTATGTTTCTTTGCAGGAAGATAAAATTCTTGCCCCACATCTTAGGTCACAGTTCAGCAAGGTATTTAAGCATGTCACTAACTTTATTTAGATGATCAAATGCATCCACTTGTTTTCCATTTGCTGAACCAGAACCTGCAAATACACATGCGGAGCTGTTGTTCCACTGAACTCAAATGCAAAGTAACTTGTACGAATTTGTGTTGGCAACATTGGGACTGCACAGGGAATGGTGTTTAGCTCTTACAGCATATTTTTCTTTCAGTAAATTTCTAAATGATTTGCAGAGTAGGTTAGTATCATTCCCATTCTATGAAAACAGAGAAAAGCACTTGTTTCTAAGCAGATCATTGTCAGAGCCAGGATTAGATTCCATGTTTTCTGAACAGCAGAACAGTGAACTACCTGCAAGGTCATGCAACTTTCTTTTTATACTTATATATCTCTTCAGACGTATCTCTCCTCACTTTTTATGGTGGTTAGATGAACTACTGTAGTAAAAACAGAAAGTGCAGGCAAAGAATGGCATGCAAAAATTATGAAAAGAGTAAGGCTCAATTGTTACTTGAATGTATATACCTAAGTTTTCTTGTGAGGCTTGATCCAAAGAATGACTCCCTACTAAACATGACATTACTGTAAAGTGAAGAAAAGTTATTAAGATGAGACGTTAATGATTACCCATGAAAAGCTCTATGAAAAAGAATGGGAACAGCCTTTCATTTGTAGTTAATGTAGTGTGCAGATCAGAGTAGCTTTTTCCCTATTGCTGTTTTGGGTGGATGCATTAAGAAGAAATGCTGACATGAAATTTTCTACCCAGCAAAATATGATTTTATTTTCATTATGCTGTTAATACTGGCAATACAAAAATGCACCACATTATATGCATTTTTTCATACTCACATAGTAGAAAAAACTAGTACCAATTCTGCCACTTCAAAAAATCAAACCAACTTTCTAAAGGCAGAGAAATATTATTTATCTTGTAGAGATAAGGAAACAGGGAGAAATTACTTTTCTGCAATCATATAATAATAGATCTACGAATGGACATGTTCTCCTGATGTCTAGTTCTACAGTTGGACAATGCTGATTAGGAGCAAGACCCTAGAAGTTCAAAATCCTTCACTAAAGTGCCTTCACATACACGTGACTCAAGTTTTTTACAGTAGTTAAAATTAATGGAATGGCTGCTAACAACAGTGCTGAAAAATCAGGCTCACAATTCCTTCCTCAAACAGACATAAAAGGTTGGTTCAAAATAAACAATATGTCCTTCAAGCAAAAGGCCATCCTAAAGGCCAAGAAATATAGGTCAAGCACCCAAACATTTACTGAAAGATTTGCCACACTCAAGCAGAAATGTGCATTAATATATCTTTCTCATAAATCTGCCTTTTTGGGGACTAAACAGATGAAAAGGCTTTGCAATACACAAAGAAGAGCAATTGCTATCTCAGATTTCATATGCTGGTAGTTTAAGGCATTGATTAAGGAGGAAAAAGTGAGTGGCATCTTTGGTATAAAGTCAGTAAACTCCCAGGAAGTGAGCAATGAATAGCACAGCCCCAGTTCCTCCTGGTTTGGCGGACTATACAGGACATGCAGGGAAAATGCCACTCTTAACAGAGTAACACCATATGTATCACTTTCCTTGACTGCTTACAAGACCCAGCCTACTATCTAGCTCAAGGGCAGTCCAATGTCCTCTTCATCATATCTCACATCTTCAGTTTTTGTTTCAAGGGAGCTTCAATAAAGCCTTGGGCTGCTGCTGAACTTTAATCAGCTTTCTACTATCACAAGCCCTTCCCTGAAGCCTTGTCTTGGGATCAAACTTCGGAAACGGACTCTTCTGCTCTGTTGTCTTCCTTGTGTTTTCCCAAGTGGTCTAAGAACAAGGAGCTGCATCTAGCTGTGATTTTGTTACAATGCCAGCTCCTGCTTCCAATGAGAGATCCTAGAAGGATCTGTCACAGAGTTCAACTCTACTACTGTGGCGTTCCTAAAGAGCTTTCACACCACAGAACAGAAACCCTACCACCTAAAGCACTACCCATCCTCAAATTTTCACACAGCCAGGCCTCATTTTTAGTTTATTAAATACTTAAATATTCTCACTCTTCTGAGAAAGCTTTGGACCAATTCTTCTCTCTCCTTTATCAACCACTGTTCAGATAATGCAGCTTATTCCTACAGCTTTCATATTAAGTACTTAACTGCTGCAAGAACCTGGAGACTGAGTGCACTTACGGGCTGTTCTCTGCACTAGGACCGCATTCCCTCACTGCTCTTTTATTTCAATACAGCCTTAAACGCAAACTGCAGTGGAGTACAAGTAATACTTTCTCTACTAAATCACTGTAGGAGGAAGAGAATTTTTTTTTTTTTTAATTATCTGGTCTGTAAATAAGAGTTTTATGAGAGATGGGAGGTAGGACTGTCAAAACAACCAGATTTTATGGCTCAGTCCCATGTCTACTGAAGTCAGTGGATGCTCCCACAAGTGCCATAATTTTTCTGTTTACCTGGAGGGTTTCCAGTCCCTCTTATTGAATGCTTATTTCCATAAACACACTCCTGCTAACAGGAAGGCTCCAGTGCAGGTTTATTGATTATGTTGCTGAAGGTTATTACACAGGAAAAAACATAAAAGCAAGATATATCCAGCTAGAATGAGGGGACTTGGGATAACAATTTTGAAGATTTTGAGCTGTGAGTCATACTTTTCAGTTTTTAATCCAGTGCTTCAACATAAAGTGACTTCTTCTACTGGCCTGAAAGATACAGTAACTCAGAAGCTACTCCAAGAACTGCTCTGTTGCTGCAGGTGTGGGAGCTTCTCTAGGGGGGCTGTGACTGACAACAAACTGCAGCAATCATTCACTTTCCTAATTTTAATCTGCTGCTGCATCTGAGTCAGAACGCATTTTGGCTCAAGGTGTGGAGTTACATACTCAAAAGGATTTCAGCTCCTAAACTCTCTCCTACATATTAAAGGTCAAAATTCAGCTGTTGCCAACCCTGGAGATGGCTAAAATCTCCAGACATCTCCATTAATGCAACTGAGCTTGCTCATAGCTGCTTAGCCTGGGCAGTGCCATGGATGTATAGCTCTTAAGGTTCTTATCGGTTCACAAACTAGGTAACTTCCATCCAGTCAGTCTTCAAAGAGAAGTAGTTTAGCTCATGATGATGTTGGCAGTAAGGGGAAGTAATCTTTTCCCAATAAGTCAGCACTACAACACTTGCCTATATCATAAGAAAACTTGCAATAGGTTTTCCTTTTTCTGTTAAAGGAGGTTTGAACCCCAAAAATTCATAGAACAGTAAGTGTAAATCTGTTTTCTAAAGCTTTCGCTATTGAAGCTGTCATGTGTTGCATGAAATGTTTAAAAAACAAAAAGAAAAAGATAACTTTTCATCAGGCCAGGGACTGGAACCCAGATATGGCCTCTGACTAAGTTTTCAAATTTTTCTCCAATTCTTGTTCTTTTTCTCTGCACTGTAAATGGAAATAGCTTCAGCACAAGTCTATGGAATTATTTATCCTTTAATTGGTATTAACTTTCATCGTGGTGATCCACTGATTGCAGTTTAGCATCAAATATTTCACATTCTCAGCCTAAGAAGTTGAACTATTTTATGCGTTTTTGAATCCGCAGCGTAGCTGGAAGGGGTTATAAATATATCATTTCTGTCTGAGACCTTGCAAGTTGATGGACTATGACTGCTCTATTGTAGTCTTCAGTGACTGACCAGTATTAGGATTGATGATTCCTTCATTCTTTTTGCTTATAAATTCCCCAAATTGATGGGGACCTTTACTATCTGTTTCAGCAGAGGTGGGGCCAGGGCCTCAAACCTAATGTAGGTTATTTAGTACTGCCAGAGAGACCGAGTATTTTGCTGATCCATCTTAGCCATCTATTTTATTATCTGTCATTAAGAAATCTTTGTACATTGTGAATCCACACAAACTTGATCTCTTACACAGCAACATTGCTTTGTGCAGGACTATTGAGCAATAACATGAAGCAGAACATGTATCCAGAACAAACTGGATACAAAACCCTGGCTCTGTGGCATGGATTAGGAGAAATCTACACCATGAATAATCATAACAAACAATAAAACTGTTTACATACAATCAGCAAGCAACATTGCATTTGTAGGATTAGCATTTTAGCTGTGTTGTTCAATCAGAAAAAAGGCAAGCAATTAGGAAATGGATTGGTTAATCCTTTTTAAGGACTACTTGTGGTGTTAGTAGCATGTTTTGGTTAACAGCTCATGAATCCACAAAGAACCATTTAACCTGCATCCTCCAATAACTGTATTAAAACAAGGCTATAATGATGGCAGCTACATACCTGGCAGTACCATCCAATTGCTCTTTCCTTTTCCAGAAGAGAGGAAGCATCACAAGAAAGCAAGAAGAGAAGAATTACATGATAAATTCAGTAGATTTTTTTTAAACAGAAATTTCTAATCTATTGCTAATTGTTTATACCTATTTTCTTCTGTCACCATAACTGACAGCAGAATAAAAGCTACATTTTCAACTAGCTATAAAGTAAAGAAAGTGATATAGGTGATAACCAATCTGTGCTGCTTAGATTGGCAATCTAGTCTTTGTTGAGAAGTGAACTCCCTTGCCCTCTCTCCCAGGACCTTATCTGCAAAACATGTATTAAATTTCAGGTTGCATCAGAATCACAGAAAAACCTACATACAATGAACAAGCTCGAAGCCACAGTAATGAGTCTAGACTCCAGACAAGCCTGAGAATTATCCTCTGAACAAAACCTGAGGTCAAGACACCCTCTAGAAATGACTCTGTAATGGGTAATGTGGGAATGGATAGAGAGTGAGAAGGGATAAAGGAAGTAAATGTACTGAGCCCTAATTAAACACTTGTGGTGTCTTTTTCTTAAAGATTTCCTTTTTTACCTAAGTGAAATAAAATCCTAAAGAAATGTTGTGTGAATAAAACAAAGAGTTAATATTTACAATTTGCCCTTTGTGAAGGCAGGAGCCTGACATGTTTCTTCAAGTCTGTTTTGAACAGCAGCTGGAGCTGCAGGAATTCTGTGATTCTGTGATTAGCACAGTGAGTACAACTTATACCTGAAGACCTCTGTTTGAGCTGAGCAGTAGTTTAAGGGTACTTTTTGTCAGAATGAGGCATAACAGCAGGTCCAGAAAGAAAGTTTAAAGAATAAACTTGGATAAGTAATGCCCATTATTAGTAGCTGATAGTCTATACCTAAAAGTCTTGAGTTTCATAGGGCCAACATTGTAAAATGTTAAGAACTCAAGTAGGAAGGTGCCTGTTTGACAGGCAAGAGCAATAAGGATCAGACAGACTCATATCCATAAGTACATGAGTGTCCATTAAGTCTGAATGTCTTTATATATTAAATGCTTTCCACTAAAATCAGAAGTGGTAATTAAAATAATACCATAACCCCAAGTCCCCAGAAAAGTTTCCTTCTGAACCTTCAGTTAATAGTTTCAGTGGGAGACCATTTTAAACATGCATTGGCTGTCCTCCACTGAATTACCCCCTTAAGCAATCGTTATTGCCAAAAGACCAGGATTTAACAAGCATTAATTATGCTCACATGCCATGGCCACCTCTGTGAACAACACAGTTCTCAGTCCAGTAGAGTCAAAAAGGGAAAAGTAAGAATTTTCACACAGCCCATATTTTAAAATACACAACTGCATCATAGAGGGTGTGAGAAGTACAGGTGCCTCTGAAACCCAGGGCTAAAACTTTATCAGGATCAATACTACTGAGGGAGAAACTGAGATTTCCAGGGCAATAAACTCCAGTGTTCTACAAAAGAAAGTTGACCATGAGGCAGCCTTCTCCTGTGTTTAAAACCAACATGAAAGCCACTAATGGAGTTATCCATGAGCCCCTAATATATCTCGCCAGGGGAAGAGAGAGGAAATGGATCCAGAAGACAAAAAGCATGTTTTTCAGTCTCCACCAGGAAGTTAACTGGCAACTCTCTGTTACCTAAAAAAGCCTCACTGATGTATATAAAGTCTGTGTTTCCTGTCCCAACTTATACTTCACAGAAAACAATGATGGAGAGGTGGAAAATCCACTTACCTGAAAAATGGAAACGACACAATTGATTCATAAAACCTCCAGGTAGCAACCAGATCAATCCTGTTGGGGTTGGTAGCATAGTATCTCCAAGCAGCCTGAATTCCAAGGGAGAGAAAATAATTAGTGTTAGGTAAAGCTATTCCCCGGTCTGACAGCAGCCAAATTGTTTCAAAGAACATAATGATGCACCTGAGTGACTATCTGGAAATTAATTACTAATCAGCTATACCAAATGAGTGTCACTCTACATTGAAATTATTGATACTGGATTACGATCTGGGAGGGCTTTTAAAGGAGACAGGACATGAGAGAGAACCACCAACATCAAAAAGACATTACATTTGACTAAACTGGTTTTGTTCTCCTGTCTAATATGTCTAAAAGAGGTTCAAGCACTGCTGGATTTGTCCAATATTTCTGGAAGTGTGAAAGTTAGTTTACTATCTAATGTACCATCAGAGGAAATTTTGCTGAGCAATTTTTCTATTTCAGCATTTATGTCCTATCAAAATTCTCTTAGCATATACCTAAAAATATGGTAGCTAAATTTGCTATGTGCTAAGTGCAGATGTTTAATTTAAAAGGTGAATTCAAATCACTGCTCATGCCCGCAGCCCCTTCTGTTTGCTAAGGAGTGTTTTTAATGAGAACAGCATAATATGCCACTCAGGCTGTTTCTCCTGAGGACTGGTTTGATCCTGAGCAGTACTGAGCACCGACACTTCCATCTGATATCACAGAAACTTTCTCTGTCCTCTGTGGAAATGCTGCCATTTACTTCACTGCCATCAAGGTGTGCTCTATACCTATTATGAGTAACTCCTATCAAATTTGTCAGCCTCCAGACTAGTAATTTTAAGCTTAATTTTCTGAATTCATAACAAAGGTCATAAGTGAAGTCCAAGTCAGATAAGGAGTCTCTTCCAATTGAATCCTCTGATCGCCCAGTGACATAAGAGGAGATCCAAGGCGTGTTTCAGTTTTTACAAACCACAGATACTATTTACATCATTTGCCTTGACTGAAACTGTCACTATAAATTGTGTTACTTCTATTGCTGTTTTCACTTCAATAACAACATAACTTTGTTTGCATATAAAACCACTCTCTCAAGGGAACTGACAAAACCTGGATTTTGGAAAGAATATGTTTTTGACAGCTTGTTTTCTGTGGTTTTGTGGTACCAGTGCAGAAGTTGGTTGGTTTCCAGAAGCTAGCAGATGAGACCCTTTCTTCTAAAGATACTGTTCTTCTGAAAGATATTTTGGGAATTGAAAGATTCCTCAAGAACTGCAAGGACCACTGGATTATCTAGCTGAATATGAAAAAAATGACCCCTTTAAAAGCATGGTTTCTCACCTCCTGCAATGGGAAATGAGAATTTGGGCGGGGGGGAAGTGGTGGCCCTTGTTAACATGGTGTAGTGGTCTCCATATAAAACACATTTCAAGGAGGGGATAAGTGGCTGCAAACCTGAATGAGTTCAGCTGCTGGCTTTCTTCTTTTCTCAAAATGTTTTTGACGATGCTGTTCCTGGACCTTCAGTGCCAGCCCTGAGCCTAAAATGCCCTGAAAGCAAAAAGTGATGCAAGATTTTAGACGTTTCTGATTTAGAAAAAATGGATTAATAATGACAGGAAATAGATCTGTAGGTGGAGATGGATATGGCTTCATGGGACCTTTGTGGAGTACAGCATGCCTTTCCCTCTGGACTGCAAATGAGGCACAAGTTTGTCGTGATCCTCTCAAGGACCGCAGGCCACAACAAAACATTTTAAGGTCCTCAAAAGGCTTCATGGAAGTCTACTGCTTTTCCAAGCTGGAGGCGTCCAGGTGGTGTATTATTTTCCACTCAAGGTAGAGTGAAACTGTGCTTGTGTGTTAAAAGAGCAATGCTAATCATACTCTGGATCTGAATGTGTGAGACTTTCCTTCTCAGTGAAGCTCTTTCCAAGTTTTGATCTAAAGGAAAAAACATCATAAAATCTGTACTTAGGATGGTTTCTGTTGCTATTTGGTCCATCTCACCCAGATCTTGTCTCATTCTTACCCGAGGACTTTGCAGACAAGAAAAATATTTAGCCTATATAACACAAGAGAATAAATATACTTTCAAAAGCAATTTAGAGATCATTTCTCAAGCAGGTAGATTAGGATTCACCTATCTATATCAAAAATACCTGTACTGTCACCTACTATCTAAATTCCCTTTAATTTTAGTGGGTAGAAACAGTCAGCAATCTCCTCTAGGAAGGAAGGGAAATAGGTGACATGAAATGCTCTGCAGAGCTGCTCTGGTTATAAAGGATGACCACTGCTCTGTGAGGATCACTAAGATGTAGATCTCTAGCTTGCAAGTGTTGAGAGCTGGGTAAGATGGGCCTAGTCCTAATTGTTAAAACAGCCCCCATATGCTCTAAACACACAGCTTGTGTGGCTATGTAAATACCAGAACTAACCTGGGCAGGGTACAGGCTCATGAGCTGCCCTGTGACTTCCCAGACTGTTCACTTGCTGGATTAATTTTGTCCTGTGCCAGTGAACACTGTCATGACTATACCCACGCATGGTTTGAGAAGTAGCAGGGTGACATATTATTCCCAATAAGCTCTATGCAAATTTGGGAAGAAAGGAGTTTGATTTGCTGATAGAGACCAGCTCAAGTGTGTGAACCACTTCTTAAAAAGGGATTTTGATTCCAGTGGTAGTTTTGATCACTTTACCTTCTTTCTGCAAGTGCACAGTGCTCAGCTGTGCCTAAAAGGGGAAGGGGTAGATACTTACTGCAGGAAGAGCAAAGAAAGACACTCCAATGAGAGAGAACGTAGCTGCAATCAACCGTCCCTCCCATGTTTTGGGGGTCTTGTCGCCATATCCAATCGTAGCAAGGGTGATCTGTGGGTAGAATGACCAGGACTTCCCATAAGAAAAACAAAGCCAAGAGCTCTGCTTTAAATGTCACCAGGAAACCTGTATAACTCAGCTCTATGGGTGCTCATGCACAGCTTCTTAAAATAGGATCTTGATGATGGGCCAACCAATTTTTTTTTAATGACATCATAATCCAGAGGCATTACACCAGGGAGAACAGATTTAGTCTTAAAGCAGCTGCCTCTCTACTAGGCATTTGCTGAAAGGGAACTCCATGCGACACTGCACGCAGAGTGAGTCTCCTGCCCACCATCAGTGCACAGCTAAGAATGGGACTTGCCAGTTTACAGCTTTCAGAGCTTTAACAAACAATCAGGGCTACCTCTCCCTGAAGTCTTAATCTCTGTAAAACAAAAATGACTTTCTGAAAACTTACTCCTTTCCTGCACAGTTGATAATTTACAGCTGCATACCTTTTCTTACCAGCGAGACTCTACCTAAATGTCCTGGATATGTAAGGATATGAAAATATCCAGGTGTTCTATGCGATACTTGGGACATTTTGATTAATAACAGTGGGGAGAGATCTTGCCACTTAAGAGTGAACTGCAATAAATAAAAAAAATATGCTGCTGAATTTAAGTCACAGCATGATATAGACTGCCCTAACTTTTGATAGCAAAGCAACATGAATTCTGTCTGCCAGGTGGTAGGAATATTTTGTGATCAGGTGAGTAGTGGTGCAAACCAATATTCCTCTCTTCTTCAGAAGAGACAAGAACAGATCCCTCTTGCTCAGGATCTTACCACCAATGACATTCTCTGAGTGATTCTTGGGGAGTGCATGTGAGATAAGAAAGAAATGTTGAGTCATCCTTTCCAGAGGCATCTTGGACGTGTTAAATTTCATCCCATTAATCATTGTGCAATGCTGCAATCTACTTAGATCCCCCTACAAGGCCTCTTGTCCTTCAGGAGATTTCACAGTACTTCCCAGCTTGGCCAGCTCTGGTTTTGACATTTTCTGGGGGATATAGCCCTCTTAGGCATGATACTGCTAGGTGTCCCATAAGCATAGGCTCTCTAAAAGAGAGGTTTCCCAGAAACCAAGAGAACAGACTGGTTTCTGAAAGGAGTTCAAGCACCTTAAGGCCTTTGTCTGACTGAAAATCAACAGTGGTATAAGTTCTGTTAATTGGTTGTAGGGGCATCCCTACTTTGGTAATGTTACACCAGCAACATGCTCCTCACCATTATTTAGCAGCACTTATACTGTAATTCTTAACATCAATACTTTATCTTTTATTGGATGTGAAGTTTTTAAGAAGGTGATAAGCTATTTTCAGATTCACTTACCAGTCCCCACCACAGTGCATCTGCATAGGTTTCAAACTCTTCCTTCATCTCCACCCCATTAGCATCTTTTTCAGGAACATCTTTTTCAACCAGATAAACAAGAAACGAGGATAGGATGAGTGTCAGGAACCCAATGTACCAAGCAGTGATAAGTTCCTGCAAAAGAAACAGATGGACAATGGAGGGGCTGAAAACAGTCTCAACACCCACAGTGGCAGAGTAAACATCAGAAGACAGAAGCACTGAGGATAACAGTAGAGCTGTCACTGTCAGCTTGGTCACAGTCCATGACCAGCCCACCTCAGCACTTACTGGAAAATAATGCAGAGATTTACAAGAATTAGCCCTTACATGGCAACCTCCGTAGGAACAGCTTGGAGCAATCTGCAGTTGTAGTTCTGCATAAAGCTGGGTTAAGGGGTTAACTGCACACATGACACAGGGTGCTGCAGGGCTTCGTTCCTGACCTTGACTCTTCCCATTCCTGC